CCCCCCCCCCCCAGCACAGTCCAGGCATACTCTTCAGCCACCTGGGACTCTTGGGCCCTTGGGTGTGGCCTCTGATGGTGAAGAACAGATGCTGGAGTCTGACTGACCACAGTTCAAATACCTGCTCGGCTCCTTCCTCTGTGATGTTCAGTAAATCACTAAACCCTGCTCAACCACGGTTTCCTCATCTGTACAATGGGATAATAGGAGAATCAACCTCATAGGGCTGCTGTGAGAATAAAATGCATTAAGAAGGGTATAAAAGGCACCTGGCACAGGGCCTGGGAATTGGTTGGCACTCCCTAAATATTTGCTGCTGCTGCTGCTGCTGCTGTTGAAAGATAAGGACAGAGGAAGGGAACTTTTATATGTGAGACAGAGGAGTGTGGACTTAACCCCTCTCTCTCCCCTCCCTTGCAGAGGGCACGAGACATCCAGGTGACAGTGGAGCAGTGGGGTTACCCAGATTTGATCCTCACAGTGAACCCTTATGAGCCCATAAGGAAGGTTAAAGAGAAGATCCGACAGAGCCGAGGCTACATGGGCCTGCAGCGTCTGTCCTTCCAGTCACCCGGCGGCGAGCGGCAACTCCTCAGCAGCCGCAGCTGCCTGGCCGATTTCGGGATCTTCTTGAACACTCCCATCTGTCTGCTGGAAACCTTCTCCCCCGAGATACAGGTCTTTGTGAAGAATCCAGATGGTGGGAGCCACGCCTATGCCATTGACCCCAACAGCTCCATCGTGGCCCTGAAGGACCAGATAGAAGACAAGCAGGGGCTGCTCAGAAAGCACCAACAGCTGGAGTTCCAGGGCCACATCCTGCAGGATAGGTGGGCTTTCACGAGCTATGGTATTGAGGACAGCAACACCCTCATTCTCTCTGAGAAGAAAGCCAGAGAAGCTCCATTTCCATACAGCTAGTTTCCACTGGGAAGCCTCCCTGCACAGTCTACGCTCTAATCCAGGACTCATCTGTCACGTCCAGCGTGGCAAGGGCAAATGGGTCTCGAGAGAGGCGATGCAGATTGAATAAAGTCAAGAGACAAAAGTTAGATATGAGCGAGACCAAGGGACTCAGCCAGAGAAGACTGAGCCCCGAATCGGGTCAGCGCATGGCTTTTATTGAGAATTTTCAAAGAAGTAAAACTGCTGTCAATCAATTAGCAATCGTGTGTGATTTCTGTGCCTTAAGGCCTCCTTTCATTAACATATCCCATTGTGTTCCAACAAATGCTATGCCTTCACACATCTGCCAGATAGCCCCAGGACACCTTGTTACTGTGTCCTCCCAGGGGAGATAACTATTATCATTCCAATAGGTCCCAGTCACCTGAGACACTCCCCAGAGAGAGCTTTATGGCCTCCAGGTCATACCGAGACCCTCCCTCAGAGAGATTACCTGCCTCAAGTCATACGAGACACTCCCTCCTAACTACTAGGGTTAGAGGCTAATGGGGGGGGGGGGTTGGTAGTGGTATTGGAATCGGCTGTAATGCAACACTCATCCTATCAACCATTCTTTCCAGCTCTCTGCTGGGGAGGGCCCATGGCTTCACCAGCTTTGTTAATAGTTATCCTAGCCCTCCCTTCCACTGGAGGAATGAGGAGGGCTCTAAGAGACTAGACATACAAGTGGACAATGCCCAGATCACATGTAACAATAAAATTCTGACCCACAACCTCTGCAGCCACCAGCCTGGGAAGCCAAACCACCACCTGTGCAGCAATCAGTCCAAAACTATCAGGACTTAGTCAATAACTGTCAGCTACCCTAACTCTCCCTGCCCCCTTGCAACTCAGGACCAACAGGAGAAGCCAAACAGGCTCTCTAACCAATCATATAGGATGTCCTGCTTCTAGATAGCCTGCCTCCAGCTTCCCCATGCCACCAAACTGTCAGGGCACACCTGAAGCTTCTCTTTTTCCCACTATAAAGCTTTCCCATTGCCTGCTTTGAGTCTCTGCCAAATGCAAGGGGATGGTGGGTGACTCCCTTGCTATAGCAAGTTGGGAATAAATGACCTTCCGAGCAGCCAGTTAGCTCAGATGGTTAGAGCACAGGCTCATAACACCAAGGTTGCTGGTTCGATTCCCACATGGGCCAAGGAGCTGTGCCCTCCACAACTAGATTGAAGACAACTACTTGAGTTGGAGCTGATGGGTCCTGTAAAAACATACTGTTCCCCAATAAAATAAAATAAAAAATAAGTAAGTAAATAGCCTTTGTTCATTCTCTCTTGGGTGGTCTTCATTTCTTTCCACAGATGCTAATGCTGTCTTAGTGGTTATTGCTTAATCCTTTGAGCCTCTCAACTCAGGGAAGTGAAAACTTTAGGGAAACTGAGACAAAGAGAGGCAAAGCCTGGGAGAGCAAGGATGATGCAATGTAAAAAAAACAACAACCCTTAACTCTTGAAGTACACACACAAACAGTACCTAATGCTCCAAGGACTTCAGGAAAATAACAGCATCTTTATTGACAAAGGACATCATGTGATTACATTTACTCCAGTCAACCAATAAAAAAATTCCTTTTTCTCCTCCCCTTTTGCCTTGCTTTCTTATGGACTATTCATTTACCATAGAATATAAAATGTACTTTATGATTGGTTCTCAAGAGCCTCTGGGTAACTTACCCATAGTAGTCTGCCTAATTCCCACCTCTTTTTGCCTTCAGGGACAGAAAAAGTGACTCTTTTCTATGAGGTAGACAGGCAAGACCACCCCACATCTTTATATTTTTTATAATGTTCAGTACAGCTCACATTGTAGGTAGTGGGCATATTCTTGTTTTTAAGAAGGAATGAATAAGTCGCCTTTCGCTCTTTTGTAATAGAAAAGCCGGAGGCTAGAGAGTTGATTTTTATAAAAATTTTGACACACTCAGCTTCAAAGATAAAACATGAAGAGAAGCATGCCAAAGACAAAAGTAATTCTGTTCATCCTTCATAGTGGCGTATTCAGTGAAATTGCACAGATTCTTCTTTTTTTTTTTTTAAAGATTGTATTGGCAAAGGGGAACAGCCAATTTGTTGTCCTTAAATTTTAGCTGTGGAGGGTGCAGCTAGCTCAGCTACAAATCCATCACCATCCAGCTGCCCATCGGCAGCTCGAAGCGGCTCAGCTCAAGATGCTGTATTCAATCTTAGTTGTAGGTGGGCATAGCCCACCATCCCATGCGGGAGTCCAACCAGAAACATTTTAGGAGCATGTGCTCTCACCAGCTGAGCCATCCTGCCCTCTGTTGGCAGTTCAGCGGCAGCTCAGCTCGGGCGTAGCATCACTGGCCCACGTGGGAATCCAACCGACGACCCTGTTGCTCAGAGCTCGCCCTCTTGACCAAATGAGCCACTCGGCGGGCTGAAACAGCACAGATTCTAATGTGCTGGTCTTGAGTGGGTCCTAGGGGTCAGTACTGAAAGTTTTCCAATTTGCAAGCAGAATGGAGAAGTCCTGAGCTAGAAAACTACCTAATGTTTCCCAAACCCAACTGTGCATCAGAATCACCCAGGATTGTGCCTTTCAAACTTTACTATGCACTTGAAATCACCTGGAGATCTTATTTAAATACAGGTTGTTATTCAGTAGGTCTAAGCTGAAGCCAGGATTCTGTATTTCTAACAAGCTCCTGAGTACTGCGGATGCTGCTGGCTCACAGATTGTACTGAGTAGAAGCAAGGCCCTAGGATATTGGAGGAAATACAGATTCCTGAGTCCCACCTTTCAAAAGATTCTGATTCAGTTAGTTTTTGGCTAGACCCAACAATCTGCATTTTAATAAGCTTCGTCAGTTGCTTCTGATGTCCAGATGGATTTCCAAATTCCTGGAATAAATGGATAATACTGAAACTACATTGAATCAACCCTGGGAACTAATCCTAGTTCTGTCATTAACTCCTGTGTTACCTTAGGCAATTCCTTCCCCTCTGTATGTCACATATTCCTCATCAAGAAAGGATGGAGAAGTTGATTTCTTAGTCACTTCTAAACTCTTACGTTTGCGGAAACCACCAGGAACAATTCAACGGCCAGGGGCGGCCTTAGTCTGAGAACTACAATCCCCACCATGCCCTGCGCTCCTCCGCTCCACGTGGGGTCTTGGGGAGGGGTGTGGCTAGTGAAGGAGCTCCCCACAATCCTTTGCGGTGGTTCAAGATGACGGCGCCCAGAGGTTCCACGAGCGATTTGGAGAGCAGCAGCAGCAGTGATGCAGAGGAGCTGGCGCGGTGCCGTGAGGTGGCGATGCCGGCATGGGGCTTGGAGCAGCGCCCGACGGGGCTGGAGAAGCCAAGAACTGGTAGGCGACCGTGTTCAGGCAGTCTGGCCAAAGGGCGTAGGATCTTCCCCGGGGCCTGAGGATGGATAGTGAGAAAGGAGCCACTAGGACTCGATTTCTCTCCCCAAGAGAGCTCCAGGGACAGGATGGAGTTCAGAGTCAAAGCGCAGGCTGATGCAGCAGTGTGGGTTGTTCCATTATCTCAGTCAGGGAAATTGAGGTACCTGAATGTCTGTTGATTCTGCTCCCTTTGGCCCATCTTCACTGCTGCACACTGGGCAGCCTACCACCTCTCCGAAATGACTGCGACGACCCCCTTTGTGGATTCTCGCTTCCATTCTTTCCCCGCCTGCAACGTTTCCACACTCTGGGGCTGCCAGTCAGCTGTGTCCAGCACATAACTAGGACCGTGACTCCCTACTGCCCTGGAAATAAGTCCCAAACGCCTCATCATAGGGGTACCTAATCATAATCCAGAGGATACGTGAATTTGGAATGGGAAGAATATTCCATCTCTGCTTTCATTAACCTCTGACTAAAATTTAGCATCACTTTCCATCTTGCATGTGAGCAACAAGCCACAAGTAACTTTGACAATACCTGT